GGGGGGGGGGATGTGGAACGAGCAACGAGCCAGCAGCATGTTTTAAGGAGACAGAGAGGAAAGGCGTTTAGCGGCGTGTGACGCCAACTGCACCGTGTAAAAACTCCACACAATACGCCATTCTTCTCTCCGGCATGTCACCGCTACCTGGGCCCACAGCATTGAGCATGCGCGGCCATTGTGCGCGCGCATATGCTTCCCATCTGCTGCATAGCCGAGAACACACAGTGGTAAGCGGGCCGATCAAGTCGTTCCGGCCTCATGAGAAACTGAAATAAAACCAAACAACAGCAGCAGCAGCAGCAGCAACAACAACTGAAATGGAAACCAGCCTGGTGTATTGTTCGGTTGTCCACCACATCTGTCGCGGTACCGTCTAGGTCTCCCGTTTGATCTCCCGTCTGGGCAGACTCAGACCTGACCAATGATTGGACTAGATCTAGTCTACTTCCTGGGTCATAGCTGTTACAGTTTTAGCCAGAGTATTACGGCACTTTCAACGCAATATAATAAGGTCATTCTTTTAAGTGCCTTCTAGTAAGGTAATATGCAAAGAAGAGAAGAGGGAGGGATAAGGACGATAATAATAGTAAGCTCTATGCCTTTGCAATCTATACTACTACCCCAGCAGACTTGATAGCATTCTGAAAAAAATCCCAACTTCCTGGGAAGTATACAGTGCAAAACTGCCTTTTACAGGCGGTAAAACACTAAGATACTGACAAGATCTTTCGCTGTCTATAGCTGGGTACCCATTCTCACCTGGGTAAAAAGAGGAAAATTCGTGAAAGTGCCTTTCCCAAAGACACAACGTTGGGCCAGCGGCTCAAACCCCTTAACTCGAAACTTTAAAATTACAAGTTCTCTGGCCTAACCACTGGACTGCCGGCTCCACATATTATTATGAATCTACCAACGTTCTTTGTTTCTCACAAATTCATGTCCAGGTAAAATGCAGAGTCGATAATGATGTATTTTCACGAACCAGAAAACTGTCTTTCAACCTATTTGTTTTTTATGTAGTTTTTTTAAAACAATTACTCTGAAACAGGAATTTCACTTTTAGTTTTAAAACAAAATAACGACTAACTGTCTCTTTTCGGCTCAGACATTCATCTCGTTTCTTCAGAGATCGTCAAGTAAAGTGTTGAGATTTTCAATAAATAACCAGCAGCTTTTTCGAACGAATATTCAAATTTAAAGGTGACTGCCACACTTTCAGATTTTTAAGTAAGCATTGGAAATTCTTACGTCTGTGAAATAAAAAACACAAAATAAAAATGTTTTTGAAAGTTGTTTTTTTTTAAGCTTACGTCATTTTGAATCCTGACATGTAACGCATTTTCGTGACCTTGATATGAATATTTATCAAATAAATACGTTTACGCACCAAAAAAAAAAAAAAAGAAAAGAAAAAGGAAAAAAAAAAAGAAGAAAATTTTAGCAAAACATTTTCTTTGGAAGTCGTAAATCTCTAACTTGATTGATGTTTGGGAAAGTAACGGTGTGTGCCCATCAGTGCCACACTACAGAATACATGTACATATATGTAGATATCCCTGGAAAACCTAACTCTATTACCCTTGGCCGTCTGCACACTGTTTATGTCCGTGAGACGTGGCTCGTGTGTCGGGGAGAGTGAGAAGACACAGGCTCACTGGGCAGTGTTGGCCAGTGTTGGCACTTTGACGGAACTCAACTGGGTTTTTGTTTTAGTTTATGTGGGGGTGTTTGTGAGGATTTTTATTTTTCTTCTTCTTTTTTTTTCTTCTTTAAAAAAATTTTTTTTTCAAAAAACCTGAAACAAACTTATTTTGCCCTTTTTAAAATCACGAACAATCTATTCAGCATATTGCCTTTTTACGTACCGGTTCCAGCATAGATTGTTTGTTGACTTCTGGAGTTTGTTTCGACTGTCTATTATTGTCTCAGTTTATAAATTTGTTTTAAAGCGTACTTTACAAAGATTTATCCAAACGAGATTCGCCGGTAGATAATAGGACTCGTTCACAGAGTCTTATATTCAGGTAAACTTAATACACTGACACGAAGCACAATCTTGACATTTGCATTTCCATGCCTACAAGTGATTTTCAATTTAAAAAAAAAAAAAAGTTTTGTGTGCATGTATAAGTATAAGACATGTCTATCAGCGGGATATTGGGGAGCGGTTGGGGGATATTGGGGAGCGGTTGGGGGATATTGGGGAGCGGTTGGGGGATATTGGGGAG